TAACGCAACATCGATGCTCATGTAACGGCCTGAAAGGATCACTTTGCGCTTCTAGGTGCTTATTCTGCAGGCCTCGTATTACTCCTGTCTCACAAATCAGGAAGTTTGGCAACGAGCTCGGAAACCCAAACGTTCCAGAGAAACCCTGCAGAAGCTCCAACTGAGTATGATCCGTGAAGTTTTCGCATAGCCCGTGAACAGAAGTAACGCATTCGGTGGTCTTGAAAGGCCGGAGGCGTGGTATGCAATTCCCGTATTGGATTGAGGTAAGAGGTATTTCCTCAACGAATTCGCACAAGACCACACCGCCCTTGGACCACACCTTAAATATAGCCAAATCTTGAGGCTCATGCAGGAACAGCTTTTTTGGGCTGGCGCCATAGCACAATCCCCCCCTAAACCCTAAACCCTAAACCCTAAACCCTAAACCCTAAACCCTAAACCCTAAACCCTAAACCCAAAACCCAAACACAAACAGTAAGCACAATCCTCCCTACAAGGCTCCTTCCCCTACAGCGTCCTACGAAAGCTAGCCATTCATATCCCCTGAACTCCTACACCTTACCTTAAAGACGAGTTGACCCCTAAACCTTACCTTAAAGACAAGTTAGGGTTTAGGGCATATAGGGATTCATAGTATTAGGGTATAGGGCCCCAACTTTTAAGGGTCATTTGGTCCTTAAGGATGAACCCTGTAGAATCGTAACCCCCAAGCCCTCCGTGCTGCAGCAAAGACACCATGGAAGCCTTAACCGAACCTGTGACCCTGATCTGTGAAGGAAAACCTAAACCCTGGCCCCTAAGCCCTAAGCCTAAACCCGTGCATCCTTAGGAAGACCTAAATTACTAAATTTACAAGAAAAAGCCTACACTCGGAACCTCAGGCTCAAAACCCGAAAGCCCTTAGGAACAACCTAAACCATTCGACCGAGACCCTACGGTTCCGGGTACCCATTTATCAGATACTCCCCCAAATTTTCAACCTCTACAACTACTATATTAGGGTTTAGGGTCTGGGGTTTGGGGTTCAGGGTTTAGGGTTTGGTATGTCAAGTCCAAATACCTAACTGTTGTTGGGTCCCCTAAAGCCTGAACCCTAGACCCTAGACCCGAAACCCTAAACCCTAAACCCTAAACCCCTAAACCCCTACTAAACCCCTAAACCCTAAACCCTAAACCCCACCCAGGAGAAAACAAATCCTTCAGGTGCCTCCGGAGCCGCAGCCGGCACGGCCAGATGGCCCGGATCCCGAGGACCTCCCTCGGCCGGGGTTTAGGGTTTCCATAATATACCCTAAGGGTCCAAAGGACCCAATAATAAGGCACTTTGGTTGCGGATAGTTGTTATCTGGGTTAATATTTGGGAGAGTATATGATTATGAGGTACCTGGACCCTTAGGGCATAGGGGCCTTAATACTAATTAGAATAAGGTTTTTGGGCCCATTATACTATAAATATATTCAGGAACCCCAAACTGGTATTGTTAATTGTTACCTGGATTTCTTAGTTCCCCAATACCCAACCTTTAAACCTTTTGGGTTCTGATAATTTAGTACGAACCTGGAAGTTTAACCTTTTATTTCCTTGGCTTATTGGGAAAAAAGGTTTGGAATGCCATACTGTTGATGAACTAAATCCTCCACTACCTTCAGGACCTTGAAGGAACTATAGTGTATTCCTTATTATGGGTAATGCAGGACTTATATCATGAACCGTACTTCAATTTTTTTTTTGTTTGGACCTGCTCTTTACAGTAACCGTTATGACATAAAAGTCTATATTTGTTTCTCCCTGGTTACTTCAAAGTCTAGTCAAGTTGGTTTAGGGCTTTAAGGTTTTAGGGTCTAGGGTTGTCCTGCTGGTTGTTTCAAAGTCTAGTCAAGTTGGTTTAGGGCTTTAAGGTTTTAGGGTCTAGGGTTGTCCTGCGCCCTAGCCTCAGACCTCTAAACCCGACACTCAACACTACAACCCTAAACCAAAAACCGGCTTTCAACCCCAAAAAGATGGGAGCAACCCTGCAAAATACCATGGGAACGAGCAACAAGCCCTTCGAAGACACTTTTGACCCTAAACCCTAAACCCTAAACCCTAAACCGAGGAGCCGGAGGTCAATCCTCCACCTGATGATCCGATCCCACAGCCTCCCGATGACCCGCCTCTGCCGCAGCTGCCGCGGGAGCACCTGAAGGCTGAGGGTCGTATGGTTTTGTCTTTGTTGTATAAGTCTAGGGGGCCTTAGAGAGGTGTATGAAGGGCTTCATATAGGCCCCTGTTTAGTGGGTTTTAGGTGTGCGTAAAGGCGTTTGATTGTGTTTGAAACTGTTTGTTGTTTAGTCGTGTGTTTTCTGGGTTTGTTCAAAGGGCTTGTATACGGGGCTTATGACATGATGTTTATGCCAAAAAGCTGCTCCCGGCAAAGGGCCCTTACAAGATAACATCCTGAACCCTAAACCCTGAACCTGCTTTCGTGCTGCCCCCCAACCTTCAGTTTACCATAGGTGCTGCCCCAGATCTGTAGGTGAACGTCTAGACATGAGGTTCGAGAGGGAGTGACTGTGACAAGTGGCGAAACCATCAGCGGCATCAACAAGATGGCGACGTGTCTACTTCTCAGGTTCAGGGCTTAGGGTTTAGGGTTCTTGGAGGGTCGGGGAACTTAGTATGTAGTTATTTTATAGAGTTATAAGTATCACAACCCCAATAAGGATCCCTATTAGGGTACTTATAAGTCTACTTATTACCAACTTACTAAGTCCCCCGACCCTCCAAGTTCTGATGGGTTCCATGAACCATGAACTGCAAGCGACGGCATCTTGGAAGAATCTACGGGTGCCCTGGTCCGAAGTACTTGTCCTACAAGGCACGTCAAGATGTAGCCGTCTACATGTCTTATCTTTGGTTAGTAGGGAATGGAGGAATGGGGTACAAGTATAACTACTATTACTACCATTCTTCCATTCCCTACTAACCAAAGGTAGGATTTAGGGTATAGGGTTCAGGGGTCCCAAGATCGAACGTAAGACTGCAAGCAATAGCCAGCAAGCTCAAAGTTGCTGTCAGCAAGCCTTGGATGTGTGCTGACATTGGCACCGACTGCACCGGTGAAGGTGCGACAAAAGACTGTGCATCAGAGTTCTGCTGGTAATATAGGGGCCTCAGGAATTGCAAATTATATTTTCGGGATTCCTTATTATAGTTATAGTCTATAGTAGAACATAGCCCAACACCCCAGTCTAATATATAAGGCCCCTATATTATTTTCCGTCAACGAATAGAAAATCCATGTCACCTCGGTGGCAGTAGGATCTTCTCAGAGTTTGCTCCGGTCCAACTGAACGCTACCCGCTCGCCATAGGGTTTAGGGATTAGGGTATACTTCCTTGGTCTCTGATCTGCGTGTTGATGGGTCTTAAGGTTTCGGGGTTTAGGGGTCATCGGTTTAAGGTCCTATGGTCTAGGTTTTCCAGCTTACAGTGGGCTTTAGCATTTAAGGTTTCCAGCTCAGGGTGTTCAGAATACAACCAGAAAAATCGTGGCTTGCCGCAATAGATCTCCATGGACCTTGTTGCAGGAACCTAAAAATAGGTTGTGTCTGGGGTGTCGGGTGTACCCGCAGCGCGGCCGAATGCATGCAGGTCTCCGACGTTCACCACGTGACGCTTCTTGCTGACATCGTGGATGCAGGGAGTCGGGATCCTCCCAAGGTTTGGGAGGGTGTATTTCTACCCATAGGCCCCATAGTCGTTTTTTTTGGGGTTACCTTATCGGATTCTATAATATATATATATATATTATAGGAACCCCCAAAAGGAACTACTTTAGGGCCTATGGGTAGTCCGCACCCCCTACTCACCAGAATTTTTTTGCAATCGCAAGGATCCTTTCAACATGGCTTCTAGGCCAAAAGCATGATGGATCCGTTGTTCCCTGTGTTGATGAAACTCTTAGCACTTTTAAAGCCTTGGTAGAGACCCCTTATGCCTTATACTAGACCCCTTAGACAAGCCATAGAGAACCCCTGCAAAAGCCTCACAGCACTCCTACGAAACCCTTAACACCCTCACCCTAAACCTTACAAGCCCTAAGAGATCCCCTAAAGCTCTAAAACCTAAACCCTAAACCCTAAACCCTAACCCTACAAAACCCTAATGCAAGAGACCCCAAAACCGCCAAGCTCCTCAGGAGGACCGAGTCCCCGAAGCAGGCCTCCGAAACACACCCAAACCACGTGCCCAAAAGTCTGGGTTTACTGTAGGGTTGTGGGATTTAGGGCTTTGGGGGTTTAGGGTTTGGGGGTTTAGGGTTTAGGACGGATTTAGGGTTTACAGCTGTAGGTTCCTGTCAAGTGGATGTTTTCGGCTGGACCCTTCGACAAGTTGTACATGCCAGCCGCCGCAAAACCCTGAACCGTGAAATCCTAAACTTCCTGAACCGTCAAAGCTTTAAAGGCTTTAAAAGGCACTAACAGCCCAAAAAGCCCTAAACCCGAAGCCCCAAAACCGTAACACTAAGCCCAACAGCCCTAAACCCCGAGCATAGGTTGACCTTGGAGAACCTCCTGGACTACGCGAAGCATCTGGGAAGACAAATCGGTTGGGCGGTGCATTTTCGAGAGGTTTTTAGGAAGATGTTGGGCCTTTAGGGTTTAGGGTTTAGTATGTTT